GAGAAGGGTGTCTGGGGGCCTTTTTTTTCTTTTTTTCCCCCTACCTAAAGAAAAAGGTAGTGAAAGCCACCAGGAGCATTAGCAGAGACTGGAAAGTTATAAAGATGAAAACTCTGATGGGAACATCTCATAAAAACAGTGGTGCTAGTTGTCATTTAGTTACACCAGCAGAAATCTGGAGTAAAAACCACTTAAAAGAGTTTGGTATGGAGCACTAAGAACTTAAAGCGTGGGCACTGTACTGACACGATGTGAGAGCCCACAGCAAGTTTTATGAGGTATGAGGTACCAATCAATTTAGCAACACTTAGAAACTAAGACATTAAAAATACAGGCTGCTTTCATCTACTTTTGATATGGTGACATTTATACAAAAAGGAAATAAAATTAGCAAGTTATTTTTATCTGCCCATCAATTTTAAGCTTGAGCTTTCTTGTACAGTTTGACTTAATATTTTAGCTACAGAAAGAACCTTTTTTCTTTCTCCCTCCTCTAGCCTCCCCTCAAATATGTGCCCAACCAAAGAAATACCCAATCAATTTAGTTCAGCCTCTTGATGTGTGTATCAAAGCTACTACATATAAATCTCAGCTGAGGAGCCAGAGCTGTCAGAAGACTATATGTATCAGAGCTTTAGACTAGGTGCGTCCAAATAGCAAAATAAACCTACCGCAAGTGACAATCCAGAACAGTCATGAGACATAACATAGACAAGGAGGACATAGAAGGAAGAAATAAAAATTAAAACATCCACACACAAACATTAGTAAAAACCATGGAGAAATGACCTTTCTACAGCAGTATATTCATTAACAATTTGCCTCCCCTTAGAAGGAATCTAATCCTCCTAGGGACCCTTGGTGGAGTTGCATACTCTACTTGAAAAAGTAAACATTGCCTGCAACGAAAATGGGTTTCATGACTGAAAATCTGATCTTATTTTCAACTCATATCCCACTTTACCTCAACTACAGTTGCTCATAATCTATAGTATTTCATAAACAGCTTCTAATTTGAAGTTGTGTTCAGGAGAGTGGACACCTTGAAGCACAAACATTCTAACACAGACCAAAATTTTATTCCACTTTCTGTAATAGCTAGCTATCATGTGTGACTGTCGAGCTGACTGAGACTCTATGTCAAGGGGATCTTAAACTATGTCAAGCTATATGGCCCTATAATGATTTGGCACGGATGTGCAGGTCAGCATCAGTACACATAAGTCAGAAGTTCTCTTAGACAAACAAAACCAGACTAAGATGAAAATTGTATTTCCAGAAGGTGATACTTGGAATTTACCAAATGCTGCTCCCTTTCAAGTTTTGTGTGCCTAAGAAACCAGGATCTTGCAAGATGCCAAGTGCCCATCAACTGCTATTGTGGACTCTCAGCAGAAGGCAGAAGTTAATTACCAATTGCAGGTTCAGGTCCAACAATGACTGAACTAAGCTTTTTGGTTTTTTGACATTTCAGATCCTTGGTACTGTACGTTGCCTTTTGTATTGGCATTAGATTTACATCTTGATCTTCAATTATTTTTCTTTTACATTAAAATTTGCTTCTTTCAAGAGCTAAAAGGCATTCTTGTTATTCCTCTTTCTATTTTATGTCACAGCCTCTAAAATAATTCAATTCTCGTTAACTGAAACATTCTACATTTAGCATTGCATTGAGTTCTGCTAGGTATATTAAAATTTGGACTGATAATTCAAGATTAAACTGCTAAAAGAAACAATCATACAGTAAAAAAAAGACAAGACAGCTAAAATTTAATGAATTAGGAATTAAGTTGGGAAAAGTTATTGAATGCAAAGAACTTAAAATCTGTACACTACCGGACTGCTAGGTATGAATTTAAGTGGCAAATTTAAGTAGTCTGTTTTTGAAAACTGACTTATTAAAGGTTTGACCTTTACATCAACTGCGAATCTACCTTCCTTAGGTTTAACTGTGCAAACCAAAACAGTTAAATCAGTTTTGGTTAAATCCCAAATTCTTTGAGCAAAAGTATGTTTAAATAGTTACACAGGATATTTTGAATGTAATCATACTTATCTGTGCAACATTTCAAATTTTGAGCTCTCTTTGTGGACAAGAGATGTATGATTCTGCTTTTTATCAAATTTTCCCATGAAAAAGATAGAAATGAAACCCAATATTAATCCCATAATGTAATTTTGCATTTAAAATATTTATTTTCCAAGAATCCATGGTCATTTATCCAGGTCCTAATGAATATAATTAAAACCACGTAGTAATATATTGTAAATACAACAATGGCCTTACATGACATGGAACAAATTCCACATAAATATCAATCAACAAATTGCATGTTACTTGTCCTACAACAAAGTATTAGGTTTGTTATCATTGGTAGAACATAACAAACATCTCAAGAAATTTTTCCACAAACATAATCAAACAGTTCTTCCAAATTATTCCTGGTTCAATGAGAGGAGTGGGCTAACAGTAGCCCAGGGTAACCCAACAATTGATGATCTGATTTTCCGTGCATTGCTGAAGGTAAAATATCTCACAATTATTTAATATTAATAGCTCAGAACAAAGTCTATAAATCAAATACAGGGAATCTACGAATGCTAAATTAACATGCTTAAAAGAAAATGGGTGTGTTTCACATTCATCATATGGAGAAAACAAAATCATCATAAAATCTTTTTCAAGATAGAACTCAAAATTTCTGCTCTGACATTTTTTGAGCTGGGCCTCACTACTCTTCCTAACCTTGGAATAACTGTACATTAGTGATTTCGTGTATTGACAAGATTGTTTTCAGGTGTGGATTTTTGCCTTGTGCTGGTTTAATGCGCTCCAGTACACCAGTGCAGCACATGAAGCATCTTCTCTCCAGGTGGAACCAAGGTTGAAGCTGCACACCAGGGCACTACCTGAAGTGCTCCACTTGCAATGTGGATGCAAGGGTTTCCAGCCATTCATCCTTTGTGCCTGTGCAGGACTCTGTTAGTTGTGGTAAGGCGACAAGGGATGGCTGCAGAGAAATCATCTTTGTATTGCCTACTAGCACGTAGACACATGAGTACACCTAGGAAGGGCAACTGGTGTGAACTTCATTAGCTGTAAGCATGGAATATGTACTTATGGCCTGAGAACTAAAATAGATTGTGTCAGATCAAGCATCACTCTTTTCTTCATCACTCATACAATGACAAAGTGTACAGTGGTCACTATACAATGCTGATACATACAGCTTGAAATTAATGGATTTGCCAAGGTTTACTTTGTTCATGTAGTGTATAGACTAGAAAAGTTAACTACTGTCTAATGAATCAACATTTTAGTAGTGGCTTCTGCAACTGAGTAGCATGAACAGGAATAAAACAACTGGATCTCCAGTTATCTTCTTTCCATACTGTCTACTGAGCAAGAACAAAAACCGTCCTCCTGTCTGATAATGGAAACTGGAAAGAGCTCTCATAGCTCTGTACCTTTGAAGCTTATCCATTATTTTCCTCTTCTTATTTGAGCTCCTTTCAGACTTCACTCATGTGATCCAGTTGCAGCCAGTCATCAGACCTGTAGGGCCTCCTCATCCAATCTCCTGATTCTGTTATTCCCCTATCACATCTTACATGTCTGGAGAAGCCTGCTAGCCTGTTCCAGGGCTCTTAAGACTAGCTGATGAGCCACATTGGTGGCTGCTCCATCACTGTATAGAGGCATCTCACCACTTGTTCTGGGCTGCTCCATGAGCCTCTTAGCTACAGTGCTCTAGGCTTCTCTTCTTGGATCCTGTTCCTGATCAGCTGGCCCTAGTCCTCAGGTTCCCAGCTTTGCCTTGTACTTCTAATCAGCCTGCCTTCAGCCCAGCTTGCTTCTACACTAGATCCTAACATGTGGAAAGAGCTGCTCATTCCTGACCATGCTTTTATCCTCTCTCTTTGGCTGGATAAGCACTCCTGGACTGCTCTGACTCAACCTTACCTGGGGTCTTAAGAGCACAGACTTGACCATGCAATATCTTTACAGTTATTGGCTCCTACTGAAGAGGTTTTGTGAAGCAATTCTCTAAATATCTTCAGCACTTTCTGTTTGAAAAATATAGCCCTTTGTCTTCTTAGCCTAGGAAATCTGGCAACATATCGAGGACATATGGATACTTCACATTTATTTCCCCATTATTCTGCTTATTCTCAACAGTTTGCTCCAGGAAGGACAATACTAAAACCCCATTAAAAAACATCTTTATTTTCTTTCAGAAGCATATTAATCAAGTCCATGTCCCTGAGGATTAGGTCCTGCAACCTTCAGCTTCTCTTGCATGAAGTGGATCTGGAGGACAAGTTTTTCTGCCCTTACGAAAATGATGCTGCTCAAAGGGCATTAAGCCAATCTTTTCTTCCAAGTTACTTGGTTGACTTACAGCTACAAGTATAGCCTGTTATCTTTATCTCTTCTCTAGTACAGAATGAATTCTCCCAGCATCATTGTGTTGAATGCCTCTGTGCTCATCCTTTTTGGTAATCTTCCCTTATTTCCATGCTCTCATTTTTTCTTCCATACTGTTTCTTTCTCTGTTGAGATTTTGCTTTTGTGTAAAAAGAGATTTAGAGTTCAGAGCTACTTATTTTTTTAATCATGCAAGCTCAGAAATACTTCTAGAAAGAGATACAAACACTGTACTAGGTCCTAGACAAAGTATTGAAAAAGGACAATGAAAATTGCGCACATTTGCTTAATTTTGGGGACAACCAAGATACTCTCAATAAACTTGCCCCTTTCAGATGAGTCATTATATACCTGTTCATCTTTTTTTAGCAGAGCAAGGAAATTGGCTGATTGCTTTATCAGTGGTGCCGCACCCAGATTCATCTTTTGTGATACCACTGAGAAGATGCTGCCAATCAGACCTCTATTCAGAGAACCACTGCTGAGGCAACAAGCAGAACTTTTTGCAGACAAATCAAACAGAAACTTTCAAATGCAACTCAAGAGTTCAAGAAAAGGAGAGGTACTTTACCTGGTCTTTCATGGTTTTCCCTAAATCTTTAACATCTTTCATGTTAATAGCATTCTTCCCTCCCTTCTCCTTTCCCTTCTTCTTGTTCTTCTTTTTGAACAAGCATTTCTTACAGAGACAAAAGCAGCAGGTAAGGATTAATAGGACTGCAACTATGGCTATGGCTATTAAGGCCCAAGGTGGCACTGGAAGAGAAAAAGAAACACACACAAAAAGAAGATGGTAAACTGTTAGTAGGGTTAAATTTAGAAACAAGCACATTTCTCTCACAGCTAAGCCTTTTTCAATGAAAATGCCTTGCAGAAATACCTTAAATCCTTTCTAAAATATCCTGTCATCATTTCTATATTTCTCCCAACTGAACATTTACGCACACAATGTCAGTTTAACACATCTATCTGTTTTCATGCCTAGTGACACATATCAAACTCACCATCTGAAAACAATATGTCCAAGATATTTATGCTGTGCAAATCTGTAAAATGCTGGGCACATTTAGGTAATTACTTGCTTCTTTCTTTAATCACCTCCCCAACCCACCTGGCATTGTGGCTGAATCGGGTAGAACTGACTGGGAATTTCCCTTTTCCGGAACAGCATCTGAGCCAAGCAGTCAGTTTTAATGAAGAGCCCTTCTCCTCCGCCCACTGCTGTTCTAGACAGCCTCGCAGGCTCCTCGCAACAGAGGCAGGTCAAGGTCGCCAGTGAAGACTGACCAAGGACAAAGCACTGTCCAATCCAAGGGCATTTGCCTTCTTCGTCATCATGCCCTAATGCTAGCAAAGTTTCAAGTACATAGCTATATTCTCACCTGTACTTTCCTATAAAGAAAAGCATATATTCTGTTTATTCAGTCAGTCTAGGATACTGGATGCTGAAGCATGAATAAATAACAGAGAACACTTACTGTAATAAAATGGTCTTGTTAGAGATCAGAATTTTTGGGAAAAAGGAATTAAGATGACACCTAAACGTAAGTACTCCAGAAGAGAACTATCTTCACACAGATCAACTTTAATGGGCACTGATCCCTGCATTTAACAGGGACACTGGTAATTGTCTAAAAATCTTGGAATGCATGCAGTCTATCAGGTCTGCAAGATACTCTCTCAGTGCAGGACCTGAAGGTCTCTAACATGATACAGAGCAAAACCGAAGAGTGAATCGAATTTGACATGTTGACTTCAGTGAATCACAAAAGCGAATGGACAGCATAAGTAGAGAAAATTAACTGCTTAAAGGAGCTAAGCAGAGTGTGAAGCATGGTCACAGGAACTTCCACTACAAATTAGCAGTTCAGGAAGAGGACAGAGCACCTAAACCTTTGTTACTCTAAATATAATGACAGATTTTTCTAATCTTTATTCAAATGCCCTTGGTGACAGACACAAAAATAATGCAGGAGAGTAAACAATTTCTGTAATACTTTTGTGCCTCCAAACGTTCATTAAATGCAGCTGCTATAAAAGGGAAGCTGTACCATATGTAGAATAAATGAGAACTGATTACTAAACAAATGAATGTTAAAAGATAAACACTGAACAGATTAACAGCTGTTTATGGGATGTATTTTATGGAGTCAGCAGCAGCAATTCTGCAGTTAAAGTTGCATTAGATCTGCACTTATCACAACCTAAAATCTGTATTTCATGCATTAATGATTTCATTCTGTCTTCAAATCTTGTGTGGTAACACTTTGTAGCACAACTGACTCTCCTCCAATTTTTTTTTTTTCATGCATCACTGACAAATGTAAAACCATCGCCTTTCACATGCAATGTGTGTTCTTCTCAAATTCTAAACTTCACATGTGCACTTAGTCTGTTAGACACTTAGCATCTGAAATGGTATTTACATAACACTATACTTTTTATCTGAGCTAATCTAGAGGAGTTATGACAATATGAAATGAAATGCGCAAATTTATCAGCTATTTGTTTTGCTCCCTTGTCAGCAGTGCCTGAAGCATAATGCCAGTGAATATAGGGAGCAGCAAGAATACGGGATAGGGTTCTGCCAGCAGGACGGCACCATGGGAGGAAAGAGAGGAGGGACACATTAAATGCAGGTAAGCTGGGAGAACCAATGAATTAAGGAGACAGGGAATGTGGGTGTTAATAGGATACATACATATGCATCCTACAGATGAAAAAGCTTGTGTAGGTAGTGAAGTCAGGTGCCTTTGTGCTGAAACTGTTGTGAAAAGTGGTATTCTGGCACTGCCGCCTTGGTTCTCTGGAGCATAAACAATGTAGGGTGCCTTGGGGAACATTTGAAACTCTTGCAGATACCTCAGCTTCTTTTTTATAATACACTGTCTGTTCTCATCTGTTTGTAATTTAATTTCACCCAATAGCTCTTGTGATGCAATTAAATGATCATCACATTAATATCTGAAACACCAAGAATTATGCAGACTTTCTTATTTATATCTTCAAAGAAGATACCCTTCCTTTTTTATTAAACAAAGCATACGTAATAAAGGGAAAAAAATTGGCGTAACCCAAAATTTGGATATATCCAAAACAACTTCAACATTCAAGTCTGAAAAAGCAAAAAGGAATGAATTTTTTTTCCCAATAGAAGTGTACTATCGCTGTAAAGGAGATGGCTCCTGCGAACATTGCCACTGACAGACATTGCCCCATCAGTGGATGTACATGTTAAGACTTAAGACAAGCGAAACATTCAGTTATCACTGGGTTTGAAATTATGCTTCCTTTCAAAGGCATTATTTAAATAATTTTATATGTTAATCATTTTACATAATATGAACAAGATTTTCCAAAATTACTGAAGACCTTGAGGGTTTGCATTTTTGTCTTTCCCAATTCATGACACTGCCAGAGGAGCTTGAATTCCAGAAAAAGTTCAGTTTTTAAAAATTAATTTTCTATAAAGTTGTCTTAAGGTGGGCAGGCAAGAATAAAATGACTGAAGTCACTGGTTACTTTGGAAGACTCACATCTACAGCATTCAATTTTTCAGCCTTTTCATCAACTGTGAATAATACGTACAAAAACCTTACAAACAGTATATCCACTTTCTTGTTTTTGCACAGTGGCTTACTTTGGAGATTCATATTGGTTAATTCCAGTTGGACTTTACCCACACTTGTGCAAGATTTTCAAAGAGTTTAATTTTTCCAGTATTTAAATGGACACCAAAGGGAATCTACAGTCTGAAGACTACCTCCATAGATATTAAACCAGTTTGATCAAGTTCAGTAAGGCAGTTTGAAACCTCAGATCTTCAGACATGATCCATCGAACAAAAGACCTCTGTGGCAGATGAAGCAGGGTGGATTACATGAAAAATGCAGATCCTGACCAAATGACTGAGGTGTCAGCAAGCCAGAAGCTTCTTGTACAACTTGTCTTACCCAGTGCCTGCACAAGGGGGTGCTTTGAAACAAGCAATACTTACCTGCACGATCAAGGAAAAGTTATTGGTTTAAGAATAATTAATATGTGTGTAAACTTTCTCGTGTCTCAGTGCTATTTTCTTTGTTCTGCTCCTGTGGGCAATAACAGAATATTTATTTTGAAGAAGCTGTCATGAATCGCAATGTGATTTGGTGATTCTATGAGGCTCTTAAAGACAAATCTATAGGAGGGGATCTGCTGAGTAGCATAGTTAGTAAATAAAGTCTCGATTTAGTCTTATTGATCCAATCCAAACAGGGTATGCTCTAGGACTTTACTCAGAAATGCAGGGATGAAGCTCATCTGTAAAAGGCAAATGTAGAGAAAATGAACCGCATGGCTTATTCCTGAGCAATAGCAGAGCACTGATATCAGTAAGCTTTAGGATTCTGTTGATAGTTGAGGCATTTTGGGTACTGATTTTTCATCCTTCACTCATCTTGAACATCAGTCAGTCATGAACGCAGCCAAAGGAATTGTGAGGTCTCTTATCCCTCTCTGTCACTTCCTACCACTAATGCCAGCCAGTGTTGTGTGCACATTTGATTCATTTGTAGCATTTCACAAATACAGCAGCTGTGATGCACTTACTTTATCATTTTAGTTTGGGCTTAGGAGTGCATCCATGAGGCAGATATCCAGACCTCATCCATATACCATGCCTGGACTCATGCTGTGCAGTGGACTGGGAGGGCATGAGGGGCCTTCAGCTCCCTCAGTAAGTTTGCAGATGACACTA